TGGAAGCTTCTGACGTACTTATAGTTAGTTTTGCATAATTCAAGATTAAATAATACCATTTAGTTGCAGTTGTTTTATTCCTTGTTCAGTTTTCTGGTTTTTAATCCCATTTTTAACGCATATCCATATATAAGTTGCTTTGTTGTTGTTTTTTTTTAAATTATAGCAGATGCTTGACGAAGATATATAAAAAGTTCATCATCCTGTGTCTTATTAAAAATATAGAATTATGTTGCTTTAATTTGGAATTTTTTTTTTTAAACTCTTGTTTAGATTTTAGTGACAAACTGCTTCGACAGCCATCACAAACTGCTTCGACAGCCATCACAAACTGCTTCGACAGCCATCACAGCGGCTTTTATTGTATGAACTTTAAACTTTTAACCTGTTTTAACCTGCTTTGTTTGTTATTTATAAGGTAAAATTGTAGAAATAAAAAATTTCTAATATCATTTATTCATTCATAACTTCATTCATTCATATAAGTTAAAGCACACCAACAGTAAACATTGAAATTTTATCATAAAAAAAATTTTTTCATTGCTTTTTTTACAAATAAGTTTGATGTAAAAATTTAGTAAATTAAAATAGGGATTTTAAATAAGATTCTCCTGTTCCGAATCACCCATACATGAGTTTTTTTTTAAATTATAATAACAATTTTTTGTTGTTGTTTTTCGAAAAATCTTTTTGATAGTTAAAGTAACTATTACATTAATATATTATAACTATTTCTTAGCAGTATGCTCTATGTTTATTATATTTCTAGAAAGTGAACGAAAATAATTTTAGTTATTTATTTTATCAATGAAAGTAAATTATTTTTTTTATGAGACAACTTGCTGTAAATATTGACCATCAAAGGGCTTCATGATAAAACTCTAGTATGGGTCGTAGAACTTTTTCTTATAAATCTTAGAGGTAATTTATTTCAAATAAGATTGGTTAGTTAAACGAGATATCATTCTAATAATTTTTTTATTATTATTACGTTATTATTTTGATTTTTTATCACTCTAAAGTAAAATTGTATAATTTGTCTTAACTCCACAAAAATTAGTTTTTTTAAAATAAAGTTTTATTAAATTAAGCAAATATATGTCAAGAAATTTAAAAAATATTTTTTTGAATTCTTTTTTCTATGCATTATGCAGACTATTAGATTTGATAAAAAATTATTTTGGGAAAAAGTTGGGAGAAACCCACAACTAAAATATGTTAGCTGTAGATTTTCCAAATGCCAATAAAAAAACAACAACACGTATTTAACAAATTATTTGCTTAACTTATGCGTAACAAGTCATTTGGATGTTGTTGATAGCAATAGAATATTATTAATTAAATAGCAGATAACAAGTCATTTTTGTTTGGGTGACATAATAATATACTTGTGTTATGAGTAGTATAAGGAACTCATTACTTTATTAAATAATATTTTTTATTTGAAAATAGAATATTTTATTATAAATTAGAATCAACCACATTTGTCCAATTTTCAAAAATGATGATCGCTTTAATGCTTCAAACTACAGTCCTATATAACTCTTTTGGGTATTTTTAAAGATGATTGAAAAGGTAATTTATGATAGTATCTATGTTTAAATTAAAATCTATGATAAAATGAAAAGAAAAAAAAAATCTTATTTGATTATGGTGGACAAGTATTAGAAGTATATATCGATCTCTCCAAGTCATTCGGTACAGTTGATCATGGAAATTTTAAAGCTAAAACAAGTTGACAATACAGATCTAATCAATAGTGCGTTAAAAATTATTACTTTTAACTAAAAACAATATTTTTATGTTGAATGAGTCAGGAACTTTTAACAATTTTTACGGAGTTCGACAGTTCTCAACAGTTTTATATAATATACCTATATAATAACTTATTATATAAAGGCCCTTGAAGCACCAAGATAGTTATTAAGGTGTTCCAAAAAGACCTATTGGTTTTATCACAGAGCACCGCGGAAAAGCATTTAACCAGGAAGTCTTCCTTCCTAACAATTTTGTTTATTGAGCTAGAGCCGGTGTCACTGTAAAAAAGACCCCGTAAAATTAGGACTTCTATGAAAGTACTAATTTCCCAGGGAATTAGTACTTTCATAAAACACCAAATATCCAATTAGGAGAATTTTGTAAGAGATATTTTATAAAACTGATGATCAAAAAGTTTTTAACCTTTGAAAACCAGAATATTATAGAATTTCAGGAGTGTTAGGTAGAATGGAATGATGTAATGCTCTACCTAATCAACAGACAAATGAATCACACAAGGTATTTTTCGTATTTTTTTATTCAGCGCAAATATTATTTTCAATAAAAGTTTGAAATTTAACTCTAAGGCATATACTTAAGCATTGAACATATGAAAATAATATATAAAATAAAATTAAGATATGTTTCTACAGAACTATAATGAAATAAAGTGAATAGCAAGTCCACGATTTTGTTAAGAATGAGAGACACTTGTGGGGAGTTTTCGGAAAAAAAGTTTAATAAATCTGTAACTATGAGGAAAAAATATATTACCATTAGGAAACAAGTATTTGAAAGTAAATTGTAAATCACAATATAAAAATTAAAAATTTATTTTTGAATCAAAACATGAAAAATTTAGTTTTGTTGCTTGAAACATGAACGGGTTTTTTTAGTGATGGGAAAGGATATAAGTGAGCGTCTGTTAAGCATTTTATAAAGTGATTTCGCATTTTATTCACAACAAACCGAGCCTCAACATGGAATTTTCCATCCAACAAAATACTAGCAAAACCCAAAGCAAAGATGCCACAACTAAAACTACGATTCTGTTTATTAATGAGAAGAAATGTTACTTCAAGCCTTTCATCCTTCACAATAGGTTGAATAAGGGATTTTAAACATGTTTTTGAAATCAATGTTAGGTTATTTCGCAGGTTATTGCACACTTAAACCCTGCCAATTAAAGTAAATGCTCATAACCAATGACAACTATTATCATGCAATAATTGAAGATGGTTGCCAGAAACTGGGAAATATATCAACTTCTTTTTTTGTAGTTTGATACCAATTGGTACGTTTCAAGGCAACCAAAAGCCTTACAAATTACTTTTTTTCTTGCGTCTATAAGGTTCAACCAACCATCTTTACTTTTCAGGATTTCTATATTTGCCTCAATGAGCTCATAAAGTTTATTCTTAAGTCTTAAAGACGTAACTTGCGAGGATTATTAATTCGGCTAACCCACTTTTGTTTTCCAGATGATTCAATCTATGATATACCAGAAATTTTTCAAAGGTGTCAAGATAAGTCAAGAAGACTTGACATTTTTTTATCACCGATGATATTTGATAGTTGGCTGTCTAGTCCACTGGATTTTTCAAAGGTTCTTGTGAGTTTTTGTGTGTAATTACAATATTTTTGTTATTGTTATGATTGGTGGGGTATCCAAAAATCTTCTACGTATCAATATAAATTTTTGGAAGTAAGACAAGACATTTACCTTCAATTATGCGAGCCACATATGACACGTCGATTAGATACTTTTGTAGGTCTCACAAGAGACTAACGTTGCACGGCATAAAGCAAAATTATCTCAATAACTTCGTCTGGTGCACGATTCCAAAAAGTTAACGATTATTTATTTGATATTGATTTTAATTTTTCATCTGCTTCTTGAATGTAGTGTAGTAAGTTGAAGAATGTTGTATGTATTTTTAAGAATCAATCATAATGCATTTTTTAAAGTCACAACTCCATTTTCAGAGATGTTCATAACAGTGTAAGAACCAAGCTATTTTTGTGAAAACTTTTCATCCTTCCAATCAAACCGTTTGTTGTTTTTTAATAACACAATTTTACCCACCTAATTTCCGTTTTTGACAAATGTCTACGATCATAACCTCGTTTAGATTTTTCTGTCCAGAGTTAATATTTTCGGTTGCTTTATCGGCAATTTTTGTTCATCAAATCTTTCATCGCTGATGAAAAGAAGGCATCAAATGGTTTATAACTAAATGGCTGCTCTTCAACTGCATCTCCTTCTCTGTATTCTAGTTTATTGCTTTCATCTTTGCCCAAATTATGCTTCATAATAATTTGCAAAATTGGCTTGCGGTTATACAACAGCATAAATAGAGAGTAGTTGATAAAAGATTTTTGATAATTTGCTGCCACATTTCAGGATTTTCATCCCAAACCTTATCGGTTTTCTTTTTTTTTTACCATTCTCCTGCGGGTGATAAGCAGACGTAACTCTTTGTTCTACTGCAGTTTATCATGCAGTTGTTTACATACCTCATTTACAAATTTCCGACCTTGGTCATTGATTTGGATTTTAAAGCACCTATGCCGACACATTACCTTATACAAAAATTGATCGATAGCTAGAGCTAATTTACCCTTGATTGGGTTGGCTTCCAACCATTTTGAAAAAATTCAATCAAGACGATGGCATGACGATACCGATTGATCACTGGATATTGTCATAATTAAAAAAAAATACTGTCAATTGTGTGCTAACAATAAAAGTTTATTTTATAATCAAGGCCGACAATACGGGGGGAGGGGGATGCCACAGGGACACGTGTTTCCACCCCCGTCCCCATTCTTCTCTCTCTCCCCCTTTTCTCCTCCCACACACACACTTTTTTTTTTTAAATTCTAGATATAGAGGACCATTTTTAAAAATTGACAATTGTGCCTTTTCACTTCGAAACTCGTCAGCCATGATAATCACTTCAATGTTCGAAGAAATAAACACAAAACACAAAAGTTTTAACTTATGCTTTAAATTAAATCTAAATCTATTTAGTCTCTACATTTCATTGCTGGCTCCAGTTTGGAAAGATTACCGGTAAGCAACAAACCACTGCACTGTAATGCAACAGTTTTCTTTTTCCAGAAAAATTTTTAATTAAATAAAGGGTGCTTAATTTGAAATAAATATTGGTTCAAAGAATAACGACAGTTCTTTCATTTTAAAATGAAATATATCTATTTTAATAAAAAAAAATCAAAAATAAATCTTGTATAATTTTTTTATAAAAAAAAAAAAATTACAATAATATTGCTCAAAAGTTAAACTTTGAAACTTCAAACTTTCTTTGATTTTAATTTAAGATATTCGTCAATGGGTATTGTTATATGTCTTCTTCTATTTTTTCTTCTTCGCCACCATAAGAAAGGTTCAGGATTCGGATCATTAACTTCAGCTAAATTATTAAACGTTCATAGTGTACTTTTTATCATTTGAGTATTTTATTTTTTACTTATACTTTACGTTTTATACTTAATTTAATAAATTTAAATGAAAGGAAAAGTTATATTAAGTAAGAAGAAATTAAATAAATGAAAAGAAAGAGGTAAAAAAAAAAAAAGGTTGGAAAACGACTACATGTTGAGAATGGATGGGATGGTATAAGTTAGAATTTGTAACTTATAACATTCTATCCATTCTCATTTATAACTTATAACAGATGTTATACAATTTCTTAACAAAAAAGTGGTGAATTTAAGAATTCTAAATGAAACTTAAAACTGCTCTAATTCATATGCAAATATCAAAATATCAAGAAATTAAAAATTTATAAATACCTTTATAAATTCATATAAAATATATTTATAAAGTTACAAATACCTTGATCCTCTAAGTCAAATTCATTATTTTCTTCAATATCATTCATGATTTCTTGAGAAATTTCATCTTCTATCTCTTCTTTTAAGTTTCGATTACCTAATAAAAAAAAAATCTTTCAAAACATTTATCTCAAAATAATAAGTAATTATATTTATATGTAACTATTTAAAAATCAAAATTTAAAAAAAAGAGCTACAACATAAAACCTCTTGCGTAAATAAGTCCAACAAGAGCAAATAGCAAAACGACAACTAATGTCTTCATTATGCTGGTACTTTCAAAGCTTCCAAAACTTTTATGCTAACAAACTTATCCGAACTTTTATAGTCCAAATGCAACGTCTCAAATTACATGACGACATATTGTTAATACTTATCGTCTCATGTCTGTTGTCATAAAAGAAAACTTACACTCAAAATTAAACAACATTAAATAGCAGCGAAGAAAAACAAAAACAACTTTGACAAACAATGAAAATTTGATAGAACCACAATTTAGTTAATAGTTACAAATTTTTATCTTTTGGGTATTGTTTCTTATAAATCGTGATTAACATCAGTTGTTTTCAAAAAGTGTTCTTTAAATTTTGAATGAAAGTATCAACTTCTGTGTTAACGTACTCGTAGTTACATAGTTAAGGTAGTTTTAAAATATCATCGTATTAGTAAGATAATCAACCGTTGTTTCATCAAACAATCTGGTCTCTAAATTATGACTGTAGTTAAAATTTTTTGTAGAAGTTATTTCTACGTATATATATATATATATATATATATATATATATATATATATATATATATATATATATATATATATATATATATATATATATATATACATATATTATTTAATGAAAAAACAAACTCTGTTACAAAATATACATTTTGAAGATGTTGTGAATAGAAAAGCAATTTCATTTTTTGTTGCATTCATTTTTGAATATATTTTTTTAGGAATAAGGCCCCCAAATAATTTTTTCAACCGGCCACAAAGGCCATTACTTCGGCCTCTAATGTAGCTATTTGTGTTATGAGTAGTATAAAAACCCTTTTACTTTATCTAATTGTATTTTTCATTTGAGAAGAGTATATTTTGATCACGGCTAAGAGTATATTTTTATATAGCTGATCACGTAATTTTACTTTTAAAGCTAAATCAAGTTGGCATTGCATGTCTAATAAATAGTGGGTTTAAAATTTTATTTTTTTGGCTGAAAACAATATGGTTATGTTGAATGAGTCAGAAATTTTAAGTACTTTGTACAGAGTTCAACAGAAATCAATCCTTTAAACAATTTTATGTAATATCTTTTATATATTAATTTAATATATACAGGCACTTGAAACACCAATTATTAAGGTATAGTTATAAAATTGCTCAGAGCACCGCGAAGGAGCTTTAAACTAGGAAGTTCACGCTTCCTTCCTAAAAATTTCTCTTTTGAAATATAGGAGTTTATTCTTAAATATAAAACCTTCAAGGAACCAAAAAATTTGTTTGATTTGAATGATCTTTCAAATTATAGGAGTTACAAGACTTAAACTGTAATCGGTTTATATATTTATGTCTTTATAATACGGTATTTATAAATCGCAACTTTATAAAAATGGGGCTCAATAATAAAACAAAATTGTGTCTTCTTTTTGCTCCAACCACTTATTCTATTGTATATATATATATATATATATATATATATATATATATATATATATATATATATATATATATATATATATATATATATATATATATATATATATATATATATATATATATATATATATATATATATATATATATATATATATATATATATACATATGTAGCCATAATTAACCACTCATTAAACAATAACCACTTATTAAAGGGTGAAATAAACTCAATAAAAAAAAATTATCGTTTTTAATGTACTGAAATGCTTGAAACTTTCCATAAAATACAATTATGTTGCAACAAAAATTTATTCTATAATCACTTCAACGTAAAGATGATGTTCGAAACAATGAACAGAGAATTTGCTTTAAAGCATCAGTTTTAACTTATGCTTTAATGTAAATCTAAATCTATTTAGTCTCTAAATTTCATAAAGTGCTGACTCCAGATTTGGAAAGATTATCGGTAAGTGACAAACCACTGCACTGTAATGCAACAGTAGTCTCTTTCCAGAAAAAAATTTAATTAAAAAAAAAAGGTGCTTAATTTAAAATAAATATTGATTTAAAGAATAACGACAGCTTCTTCATTTTAAAATAAAATTTATTACTTTTAAATAAAAATGAAAAATTGTATAATTAATTTTTACAAAAAAAAAAAAGAATATTGTATAATTATTTTTTACGAAAAAAAAAATTAAAATAATATTGCACAAAAGTTAAACTTTGAAACTTCAAACTTTCTTTGTTTTTAATTTGAGATATTCTTCAATGGGTATTGTTATACGTCTTCTTCTATGTCTTCTTCTTCGCCACCATAAGTAAGGGTCAGGATTTGGATCATTAACTTCAACTAAATTGTTAAATGTTCGTAGAATACTTTTTTATCATTTAAATATTTTGCATATTATACTTAATTTAATAATTTCAAATGAAAGAAAAAGTTATTCTTAAGAAAGAGGCTGATTAAATGAGAAAAAATATATTAGAAAAAAAGGTTGGAAAACGATTACAAATTATATACAATTTCTTTTATGTTGAGAAAGAATAGGATGTAATGAGTTATATACAATATTTTAACAAAAAAAGTAGTGAGATTAGAAAGTATAAAAAATCTAAATGAAACTTAAAATTGCCCTTTTAAATATGCACAAATCAAGAAATTCAAAAGCTATAAATACCTTGATCATTAATGTCAATTTCATTATTTTCTTCAATGTCATTCATTATCTCTTGAGCAATTTCATGTTCTATCTCTTCTTTTAGGTTTCGATTACCTAATAAAAATAAATTATTTTTATTAGGTAATCGAATAATAAAAAAAAATAAAATAAAAAACTTTTCTCAAAATAACAAGTAAGTTTTTTTTAAGTTACTATTTAAAAATCAAACACTTGTTTAAGTAAAAAAAATACACTTGTTAAAGTAAAAAAGCTACAACATAAGTGTTTAATAATATTTTAACTTTAAAAACCTCTTGCGTAAATAAGTCCAACAAGAACAAATAGTAAAACGACAGCTAATGTCTTCATTATGCTGGTACTCTCAAAACTTCCAAAACTTTTATGCTAACAAATTTGAAAATCTGAACTTTTATACTCCAAATGCAACATCTCAAATTACATGAAGACAAATTGTTAATACTTATCGTCTCGTGTTTATTGCCATAAAAGAAAACTTAAACTCAAAATTGGACAAAATTAAATAACAGCGAAAAAAAACAATTCTCCTTCAAACACTAATTCTATTACAGAAAATGGAAGTTTTGTCGAACCACAATTTAGTTAATAGTTACAAGCTTTTAATATTTGGGTATTGTTGCTTATAGCTCGTGATTTACACCAGCTGCTTTCAAACGTGCCCAGTTGGGTATTGTTCCTTATAGTTTGTGATTAACATCAGTTAATTTCAAAAAGTGTTCTTTAACTTTTGAATGAAAGCATCAACTTCTGCGTTTATTTATTTACTCGTAGTTACAAAGTTAAGGTAGTTTTAAAATATCATCGCAATAGTAAGATACCTAATCAAGTCATTGTTTCATCAAACAATCTGGTCTCTAAATTATGAAAGAAGTTAAAAATGTTTGAACTAGTTTTTTCTGGTTATAAATATAGACATATACTTTTTTCAGATTATGTTTTAATAAAAACAAATCTTTGGCAAGTTTCGTATTTGCGCAGAGTATTCAACGTAAGATTATGTTTGTTTTTGATTAAGATTAAAACTTGAAGTGAATTTATTTTTTAGGTGAAATGAAGATCATAATTTAATAATACTGTTAATAAAATGTTCTGATCAATGACAATACTTCATAGTTATTAGCTCTTTAATGATTGTTATCAATAAATTTTGTATGAAGTTCGATGGAAAAGTTGTATTTTGACAAATACATATAGCTAATATGCAACAGAATAAATCAGAATTAGGATCTAAAGTGGATTAAGACTTTACAAAAAAAAATTGAACTTCTAGTTAATACTAATGATCAATTTATAGTCGAATTTATTCTTGTACAACGTTTTTTATTTATTTTATTCTTAAACAACGTATTTTATTTATTTTATTCTTGTAAAACTTTTTTTATTTATTTTATTTTTGTAAAACTTTTTTTATTTATTTTATTCTTGTAAAACTTTTTTTATTTATTTTATTCTTGTAAAATTTTTTTTATTTATTTTATTCTTGTAAAACTTTTTTTATTTATTTTATTCTTGTAAAACTTTAAAAATCTTTTACACTAACACGTATTAGTGGTATTGAAAGATTTTTAAAATTTAATTAAAGTTAAGAAAATTTTTTTAAGTATTAGAAAAACCTGATAAAAAAAAATAAATTATTAAGTCTAAAGCTATTGTTTAGCTCAGCAAGTCTTGTAAATTCTAAATTTTAAAACTTGAATAATTTGTAAACTACCTAGTAAACCGAGTAATTGTATTTGTAATTTTACACAAAGTAAATGCAAGTTTTAGTTTATGTTACTTATTGGTTTAAAAAAGAATATATATCTTTATATATATACATAAATATATATATATATATATATATATATATATATATATATATATATATATATATATATATATATATAAATATATATATATATATATATACATATATATATATATATATATATATATATATATATATATATATATATATATATATATATATATATATATATATATATATATACATACATATATATATATATATATATATATATATATATATATATATATATATATATATATATATATATATATATATATATATATATATATATATATATATATATATATATATATATATTCCGTTTTAAAATCGAAAGTTTAACTTTGAAATGGAATTGAACTTTTTTAAAACAACTTTCAATTTGAAAATATTGAATATTTGTTTGCTGTAATGTTGTTATATTTGGATGTGTGAAACAAATATTTACTTTATCTTATTACATGATGTATATTTCCTCATAATTTTGAGAAACTTATTTGCCTTATAAACATCTAGAAATTTCAGGTTTTTAGATTCAAGAGTCTGAAAAAAATATATAATTGTATAATTATAATAAAGAGTTTAAATAAGTAAATGAAATTTTAAATAGTAATTACTTTAAGAGTCAATAAATGACTAAATAAATTAAAGCAATAAAAAATTAAAAGTAAAAATAAAATACAAAGTTTAAGTAAATAACTTGTGTTGTTTTAAATAAATCAAAG